CGCTTCCCCCTGCCGGCCGCGTCCTCAGCGCCGCGCCCGGCCCGGCCTCCGGCGCCTCCCTGGGCAGCCCGGCCTGGCCTCCGAGCGAGCGAGCGGCCGCGCGTTCTGCGGAGAGCTCCGCCTGGCGCCCGTGCTGAACGTGCCCTGGCGCAGTCGGAGACTCGGTTCTCTCTGCTGTCTCTAGCTGCCTCGGAGAAGAGGCCGACCCCCAGCTGGCCACAGGCTCCTCTCCGGGAGTTGTAGAGATTGATAATGTCACCCCTGAGCCTCCTTTTCTCCGGCTGAGCAGCCACAGCTCCCTCGGCCGCTCCTTGGAAGACCCTTTGCCATCTTCGTTGCCTTTCTCTGGACTCAGAGATAAGGCCTCAATTTCTTTGCCAAGACGTTAATCTGGACGGTTTTGCTATCCTTTCATCATACCATTTTAGAGCACGCAAAGCTCCACCTCAAGAAGATTTGTGATGCATTGATAGAAGACAATTATTTGCCATAGGTTTTGCCTTCTACGCTCAACATCACTGACTTCGTAAGAAAAGATAAGGGGTTCTGCCAAGTCTCCCTCCTCCATAACAGGACATTTTTGTCCTTTGTTCACTTAACCTTCTTGTTGCTAGTTTGGAAAATGTTTACACACCTGGATGTTTCTGTGATGCTAGTCTCTGGAATGCCTCTGTTTCTTTGACTTATTACATTGGGTAACCTCTTACGGATGGAGTAGGTTGGGACAAAAAAAGAGGCTATCACTTTGGATTTTGTGTATATAGATGTATGCTGTCTGCAACTCAACTTGCCTTGATCTCAGCTTTGTATTGAGAATCTCCACTGAGCTGTTCAAAACAGCATCCAGGTACCTCCATTAAGCACTGAGAAACAACAAAGGGTAGTTAAAATTTTTGTTCCTGGCTCTGATTTATCTGTATTTTGATGAAGGGTGTAATGAGCTGGTGTAATAAAACTCTTCTGTAATAAATCCGTGTCCTGCAGACCAACAGTGAAGTTCTAAAATTTGTTAGCGTCTTCTAGTTTCTGCTACTCTTACTTTAGGTCTCCTATCTGTGTTGTGAATTTGAAAGTAGTTATGATCAGAAGGATTTGACCTTCTCAAGGAGAAACAGTAGAAATAATTAAGAGACCAAAGAAAGCATAATATGACTTTTTTATGGTGGGAGAAAGAGTGAGTAGTTGTGTACCTAACCTTTGAAATACTTTTAATTTCTTCCACTATTTAAAAAACATCTAAAATACCACAGACCTGTATGAAGCCCCAGATACACAGGCGGAAAGGGAAGAGGGAAGCAGTGTGAAACCCCTCTGTTTGAAGATATGTGCCTGCTGAAGGCAGTGAATCAGCCAAAGCATATAATGATAGCTCCTATCTTCCACAAACTCAGCCTTGCCTCAGTCTTCTTAAAAATTATAGTACAAGGCCTCTTGGAATACATTTCTGGGCTCACGGGGAAAAAGACAGAGCGGAACAGCCAATATTGGATTTGACAATGGTCAGTAGTGCCCAACCTACTTGATTGCTTTCCATGACAAATGTGTAGATCTGTATAGGAGGGGACACTAGTGTAACCTTGACTTCAGCAAGGTTTATGACTTGTCTCCCACCATACTCTTGTATCCAAAGTGGAACATTATGGTTCCACATGGATGGACAACTAGATGAGTAAATAACTGGTTGGATGGTTGAACTCAGAAGCTAGGGGTTAATGGGTCAGACTTGAACTCTGCCTGGAGGCCCATAATGGGAGAAGTGTTACAGGGGTGTAGGAGTGTGCCCCCTAATGACAAGAGTGGCAAAGCTAGCCTTTGTCCCCCAAAAAAAGAAAGAAGCCCAGAAGTTTCTCTCAACAATTAGGTGAAAAGCCACCTCATAGGACCTCAGGGACTTCACCAAAAACTTGAGGACATCTAATTGGATAGAAGCCAAAAAGTCCCGCCTGGCCCATCAGGTAGAAAAGAAGAGAATAAAAGAGCTAAAGTGCTTTTGTGAGGTTTTTTACCAGGAGCAGACCTCTGCACCTGGCTCGAGATTTTCTGTTTGTTATTTTGCCTTTTATTAAACCGTTTTTGTTTCTAACACCGCAGCAGAAGCCATCCTGCTTATTTTATGCCCCCAAAGTAATAGCTGAGCTATCCTTGGGTGTATTATATTTCTTTTGAGGGCTTATGAGACCTGGCCCAAGAAAAAGAAACATAATACAGGGGTCTCTCCTGCACCCTGGGCATTGAGCATGTTTATCAAGATCATGAGAAGGTGACAGAGAGCAGTATGGTCAAGGGATGTCAAGCTCATACATGACACCAAGCTGAGGGAGCAGCCATTACACTGCCATCTACAGGGACCTGAACAGACAGGAGAAATTAATCCTGTCATAAAATCAAAGGGTTGGTTTGGGTTGGAAGGAAGCTTAAAGATCATCTAACTCTTCTGCTATGTGGAGGGACACCTTTCATTAGGCTGCTTTGCTCAAAGTCCCATTCAGCCTGACCATGAATACAACCAGGGCTGGGGTATCCCCAGCATCTCTGGTTGACGTTTTCCTGTGCCTCATTACCAACACAGAATATAATTTTTTCATAATATCCAATCTAAACCTACTCTCTTTCAGTTTGAAGTCATTTCCTCCTTCTGCCAATGAATACACAATTTATTTATTCTTAAAGTCCCTAGAGCTCTCTTGTAAACTCCCCTCTGCTACTGGAAGTCTACATTTAGGTGCCTTCTCTTCTCCAGGCTGGACAATCCCAGTTCTCTCTGCCTTTCCTTATGGGAGACATGCTCCCTCCCTCTAATCATCTTGATGTTCCTCCTCTGGACTCCATGACCAACAGTGCTTCAGGTGGCCGTGAACCTGATTTTCACTTAGAGTAGGAGAGACTTTGCTTCCACAGTTGCCATCCTCCTGTTTGTCCGCCTGAGAGATGTGGGAAGAGGGGTTACCATTGAAGGAAGTTGTTGAGTACCTCAGCTTTCCTGTCAATCATTGTTACCATCATTGTCTATCAGGGGACACACCTTCTTTGACCTCCAAATGAGCAGACAGGCAGCAGGGTAGCACTGCAGAAAAGGTCCTCGGTGTCTTGGTTGTCAGCGAGCCAGCTGTGCACACTGGCAACAACCAGGATCAACAGCATCCTGTGCTGTCCAGGAGCACAGCTAGTCAGCTGAAAGAAGGGATTATTACTGTCTCCCCAGCACTACAATATTAGACTATTGCATTCAGTTTTGACCTCCATAAAGGAAGAGCATGACAAACTGCTGGAGCAAGTTCAGTGGAGAACCACGAGGGTGGTTAGGGGTTGGTGCAGAGAACACTGAGGGAGCAGGACTTACTCTGCCTGAAGAAGAGACAGTTACCAGGAGATCTCATAGCACCCCGGTAAGTACTGACACTGAGGTTTTAATGAGGAAGGACCAAGGTTCTTTACAGGAGTGCACGCTGTGAGGACAGGAGACAAATGGCAGAACTTCAAACTAGGTGTTCAGGCTGGATTTGAGGAGAAACTTGTTTATCCTAAAGGCAGTCAAGCAGAGGAGCAGGTTATGTGAAGTTCCATTGACCTGTCCTGCCTTTTTTTCAACCAAGCCTGTCCTCTTTAAAATGTGTTTCTTTTGTACTGATGTAATAGTTCTTCCCCTCTTAAGAGTCAGAGGTCCAAGATTTGGAAAGCTGAAGCTCATGTGAACAAGTCTTTCCTACAATCTGGGAAACTACCTTATAATCATATCAGAATCTGAATGTTTCAAAAGCCTGAGGAAGTAATCAATTAATCTTTTTGCAAAAAGGTGAAAATGCATTCAATTAACAAATAATTACATACACTACTGAATCACTTATCCAGGCAGGTAATTACAAGGTTTCTTTGATAGAAGACTGGAGAATGGTAGTTTTTATAGTTTAGATATAAATGAAGTGTGAGATTTTGGCTATTTTTTAACAACTGACTCTCCAGATAAATACATATAAGCTGTAACAAAGCAGCAAGTGCTTTACATTTTGTGCTTTAACTTCTCATCTCTGAGCAATCTGTATAACCAGTCAAAACAACCAAAACCATCCAACACCTGTCTTCAGCAAAGTCTGCCAAAACATCTGTTGCCATCAGCCATGGAGTATGGCAGCAGTGGAAGGCTAGCCTTCCATCCTTTTCATTTCATGCGTGTAGCATACCTGCTGCCCTAGACAGTAGAAAAAAATGAGATAAAGAATTATTACTGGTGCTGTCATATTCACAAATGTGATAACTCATTAAAAGTGTTTTTTCCCTCGTGCAGGAGTTGTTGCTTGACAGCTGGTAAATGAAAGACAAAACAAACAGGATAAAACTACCACTTCTTAGGTATACCTTCATATTTTTTTTTAATAAAGAAGTGCCTCACAGATAAAAACAAAATTATTTGAGCATCCGTTGTCTTTGTTTTGACAAGATTACTAACACAAGATTAGAAGAAAAATGTAAGGCCTCTGAAAAGAAAATTTACTTCTTTACTTCTTAATCCTGATAAACATTTTGTGGCACTTTGGATTTTATAACCTCATTAAACTCAAGTTATGCAACTCCTGGGCAAGCAGTACAGGAAAACAGTCATTTTTACAAGTTTCTTGGCTTGGTAGAGATGTATTCAGTAAATGGAGCAAACTTTGCACTGGGATCTTCTGAACCTTTTGTAACCTTCTTGTACTCTTTATATCTAGGGAGCAAATGTACTGTGACAGATAGAAAGCCTTTGATACAACTGAGAAATGCAAGTTCTGGTACATCATCCAAATTTATGCACAAGATTAAGTAAGTTTGATGTGTGTCAATATCACATAATGTTTTTCTCCTTTAAGGAACACAGTTCATTATACCAGTGCTCTCTTGACACTCAGTATGATGAAATTCAGTTACTCAATTCTTTCATGAAGCAATTTATTTGTAAGTAAGCTTCAAAAAACCTGAAAATAAAT